TCTATATAATCTATACTATACTATGTGCGAATACGTATGCCAACATTAACCAAAACCGTGTTGTGCGCGTCAACATTGACCAAAATCCTGATGTAAATGTCAACATTCACTAGTAAATGTCTCGTTTTTTTTTTTGTTATATTTCAACAAATTTAGAGGGTATATGTTGACATTTACTAGACGATTGTCAGCATTCGCCAATTGCGGAAATTCGCAGTAATACGTGTAAATATATACATATCTGGTCTCGAGGGAGAAAGGCTTAAGTTAATTTTTTCTTTCTTGTTAATTATTTTTCCACCTTTGTTTGTCGATTTAAATGACACAAGTTCGCGTATTTTGAAAATAACGGAATTTACATATTGTGTATCGAGAAATATATACGAAATCGACTTAAGTCCTTCTTCTTCGGACCAAAGATATTTGAGTAAACTTAATATTATGTAGGATAAAAGGCTTTTATGTTACGACCTATCGAATTTACGATATTCAGGTGCTTTGCTATGTACGGACGTGCGGGAGGAGAGGGGGGAGGAGGGGGGGGGAACTGACCCACGAGTGCTGCCAAACACCGAATTAAAATTTAGCACGCGTTTTGAGTAAGTATAAGAGTATAGGTATACTATACTTATGCGGATTGCATATCATACTATTATAATATATACGTGTATATATATATAAACCTACTGAAATGCGTAATATTATAATGTTAATCGCCGGTCGCTTGACGGGTTTTCCGAAACGGTCCCTTATTATAGGTGTTATTAATTTAAATAGTATATAATACCGTATCTACGTGTGAATATCAATTTTCTACGTGTTGTTATATCATTAAGTTTAACGAGTATTTTCAACGGCAAAATTGCCCATACAAATACTGTTAATAAGTAAGGTATACGAACATCACCTACGTTCGTTCGAATCGCGTGTGATTGATGCGGTACACACGCGCGGTGGATAATAATATTTCTAACAGTAATTACCTACCTATACCATCATAATATCATAATATCGAACAACGACTCTAAAACATGTTTAATAACGCGAATGATTTTTTCCGAGCGTTACGTATACGGGCACTTACGACGAGCGGAATTATAAAAGACGAAAAGAAATAAAAAAAAAATCCGAAATTCCTATTATTATTATTATTATTATTATTATACGGATATAGGTGTAATGTTATTTTACCGGAGCGTTGAGTAGTTGTTCGAGTCTGGACTTGACGTCGTGGCCTTGTTTGGGCCTGATCAATAGGTATATGCACGCGACGTTCGGACACGAATGCAGGAGTTTTTCCACCAAAACTTTGCCCATGAACCCCGTGGCGCCGGTGATGAGTACGTGACGGCCGCGGAAAAAATCCGATATCGGACTGAACGTGCTGGCCATTGCGGCGGTATCTGTACTCGGACTGGAAACAACAAAAAATACGAAAATTGAAAAAAAAATCTAGACGGCGACGTGTGCACGCCGGGGGGAGGGAGACAATGGAGAAAATTTATTGTTTTTTTTTTTTTTTACGCGCTGTAGAAATCGGCCGAGAGTAACGAAATATCGCGCTGATAACGACAACAACAATAATAATAAAAATAGTAACTATAATAATAATGAACGGGGTGAGCGTGACAGGCACGTGGCGTGTGGTGTACTGAACAACGTGTGCACGGGGAACTTACGCCCTCCGGTAACTCTGCTGCGGGCTACACGGCGGCGGTGGCGGCGACGGTGGTGGCGACGCGGCGGCGGCAGCGGCAGCGGCGACGGTTGAATTCTGACGGTGATCCGTTTTAGCGGCGTCCGTGGAACGTATTGCGGCCGTCGTCGGTTGGCGACGACGAGGGTGATCGGTATCGGCGGAGTGGGAAAAAAACCGCGAGAGCGAACGATACTATGTGTACCGGCGAGAGAGCGTTCGTTTGTCGGTCGGTATTAATTTTGAAAAATAAAAATGAAAAAAAAAAAAATCTAAAGGGAAATACCGGAAAAAAAAAATTTATTTGAAAAAAAAAAAAAAAATAAAAATATTTTACGTGTATTATTACGCGGCACGAGAGACGCGGTTCGAAAAGAAGGAACTGTGAACCGGCCGAGAGACTACCGCAACGACGACGACGGTAACATTGGCAGCGTAACGCCGGCGACGACGGGACACGCGGGTGCGACGACACTCGACGACGAGCGATATACGCGCGCAGTTTTCGCCATACACCAGCTGAGAACGGTGGTGGCGGTGGTGGCGACGGTGTCGGTGGTGGCGGCGGTGGTGGCGGCGGTAGCGGCGGTGGCGGCGACGGTGACGGTGGCGGCCGTAGTCGTAGTCGCCGCAGCGTATTTCCGAACCCTAACCGAGCCGGCGGCGCGCAACGAGTCGGGCCCGCCGTAGTCGATAAATTCGAAAATAAAAAAAAAATAATATTGTTTTCGCGTTTGCGATGGTCTTTTTTCTTTTTGTCCAAGACCGTAAACAACGGACCCGTCTCGAATCGCCGGTGAATTTTCTTCGATACTATTGTATAATACAATACGGATAAAGAACGAGACGGAAAAACGGTTCGAAACTGTCTCTAGACCCGGACGTGTATCGCCCGGGCGCGCGTGCCGCGGTCCGGTTAGGGTTTGGAAATTCGCGCGGCCGCCGATGACCACGCTGTGGGGACGCGTATGTGTGCGTGTTCGTTACGCGTGTGAGTGTGCGTGCGCGCGTCCGTCTGTGTGTGCGTGCGTAAATTTGAGTGCGTGTGCGTGTATCGTACGCGAGTGTCGTCGGCGAGTGCGCGCGCGCGCGCGCTCGCGACCCCCATCCCGGCGGCTCGGCGGCGGCAATGGTAATTCGATAAAGGGGCGGGCGCGCGCACGCCGCCGCCGCCACCACCGGTGTGTTTCGCCGCATACGGCTCCGAATGTATAGGAGAAAAAGCGGGGATCACCGTTATATACCTTCCCCTCGCCGCGTCGTGATATCCTCCTCACGGTAGCCCTCTCGTCCGGTTCCCCGGCACCGCCGCCCGGCATCGCCGTACGCGCACACACAACTAGCCGCCCCCGCAGTAGCCGCGCGTATACGAGAGATACGGGACATCACGCGTACGGGCGGCGAAAGAGAGAGAGATAGAGACAGAGAGAGAGAGAGAGAGAGAGAGACAGAGAGACAGAGAGCGAGAGACAGAGAGACAGAGAGCGAGAGAGAGTGAGTGAGAGAGTGAGCGAGAGAACGGGCGGCGTACGCGGGAGGGCGAGAGAAAAGCGTTTTTCGGATGAGGGGTCGGGAGAGGTAGAGGCGATGGCGGCGCGAAACGCTTGACGGGCGAGGAGGCGAAGCTGGCGGCGTGTCGATAAATCTGTGGGCGGCCGGATAAAAGAATACGTGTTTGGCGCGCGTCTGTGCGTATGGTGCTGCGAAACGGCGAATAAACATTCACCGCCGCCGCCGGTTAGTGTAGTACAATGTCTGGGCCCATTAATGGAATCGCGCGTAGCGCCAGCCGCCGCCGCCGCCGCGAGAGGTTGGCGCGAAAAAACGCGCGAGTTTTGAACACCGCGACGGGCTCTGTAGGTGAAATACATTAATTATTTGGCCTGTGCGTTGGAGAAAAGAAAAATAGAAAAAAACTCGCTAGAAAAAAACAAACGGTACAAAAAAATTATGCGCGCCTAAAAACTATTACAATAACGAGAAAACGATTTGCGAGCGGCGTCTGGCAAAGTTGCCGAGAAAATCCGGAAATCGAAAAAAAAAAAAAAAAACAAATTTCCCGTTTTTCCAATTCATTAAGAAAACTACGAGGAAAATCCGAAATTACGTCCCTGATGCACCGGCCAGACGAAATTTCCATTTAGAAAATATGCTACGAAAAAGAAATAAAAACGTATAATACCCACCGTATTTATAATCAGTCATTGTATACGTCAATTAACACTAAAACTACCAAGTGTTTACTAGTACATTTTTATAATAATCGATACTGCACTAGCTCTCTTAATCTTCTCTTAATTGTATTCGTTGAATACTCGAGGGCAGTATTTATTTATTATTTGCATTGCATTACAATCCGCATTGTTATTATGAATTACATCTTGATAGGTATTCTTGCTCTACATGTATGAAAAATGGTATTATTTCGGTGTAGAGCAAAGCTAGTAAACTCATTATATTCATCTATTCTCTTGTACATTTCTATACTAATTAGCAAATAAACAATTATCGTTATTATTATTGTATAATGTATTACAATGCAGTATAACCCATACATTCCTCGCTACACCATCAACATCTAAAATGTTTTATTGAAAATATCGTAAATTACTTGTATATTCGCACGCAATTAATATTATTCACAATGAAATTGGAACGAAATTAAAATTATAAAACTGTGTACACTATTTCGTACTGTCTGTACCCACAACCTATAACTAAGAAATTTGGCAGATTTAAATTTTTCACAAGTGTCCCGTGATAAGCTTAAAAAAAAAAAATCTTTGCTAAAAATACTATATGTTGTTTGATAATTGAAAAACACTTACGGTTTTATGACATTTTTACCCGTCTCGTTTCGGTCAAACTAAACTAACCGTCAAAGGCGACGGTTGGAAGGGAGGAGCTGATGACGAAAACGACGTCTTGAAATCTTGAGATCTGTTATCCGAAACTGAACTTGCATAGATTTTGTACGGGGGTTCGCGAAATTCGGACCCTACTATACTAGTATACACCATACGCGTGACACACCGGCACATCCTTCGGTCCACAACCCTCGTGGCATGCAGTCACTTCACGCCCGACTATTATATCAATGTCCGTCAAGTGCTTATCACGTTGGCGCCCACATATTGGAATTTCTACTCAAAAACCACACCAACAATTGCTATACTGTTAGTACAGATTTACCATCACCAAATTTTCATTTGTACACCCACCCAGACTATATACAATTAATTGTTCAACCGCGGATGTTCGCGTCAGAACCGCATCTTTTAATATTTAATCTATAGATTCACCGATTGTTATATCGTTTTTACAAATTTGTAATCACAAAATTTTCATTTGTACACCTTATTAAACACTATGAAATCCATTTTCTATCTGTGGGTGCTGGTGTGACGCCACACGGACATCCGCAATTTTTAAATGGCTTTTGTGAGCAGATGGTGGGTGTACAAATGAATATTGCGTGATTACAAATCTGTACAAACAATATAACAATCGTTGGTCTGGTTTTTTAGTCGATAAGATAAATAATAAAAAAGAGTTGATACTGGAGACGTGTACGGCCGCTGTTGTAGGTGGGTAGTTAGGAAGATGGGATACATAAGGTTATTTGATTTATACCTATAACCAACAATAAACCATTGCTAACGAAAACAAGTGCTGAGCAAAGTTCAGTTATAGGTACATGTTTTAGAAAAACTGTAATATTTACGATTTTCGTCAAAATTTGATTTTAACTAATTATAAAAAAAAAATACTACATTGCATACGATTTTTTTTTTCCACTAAGTGTAACATATAATGAACTTCCTGTTAAATCATCAAGTATTTCTGTTGAGTCTAACAATTTTATCCATAGAGTACCTATCGAATAAAATGTACGTAAAAAACTAGCAAAATTAAAATGTCTAAACCTAAATGTTTCAAAAATAGCTCAAGTCTCTAAGAATTTGCTTAACTGACTTACATTGCAAAAACAAAATTATAAAAGGATTATTTTCGTTGATTATTAAAAAAACAAAAAATAAGATAATGGGGACGGGTGCAGCCACTGGTATAGGTGGGAAGTTGGAAGGTAGGATACAGACGGGAATTTAACGATAAATCATTACTAACGAAAAAACGATTCAGAGCGGAACTTAATTGATAGTGATGCTTTGTCAACAATATATATGCCATATTAGTAAAATAATTAAATAGGCTCTATATAATTTCTTTTGTACCGATTTCTTCGATTTTTTCTACGTTTTTTCCGGTTTTCCTGTGTTTTCTCCCAGTTTTTCATATTTGATGAGAAAACTCCGGGGAAAATGGAAGAACGACCTCTTTCAAAGTACCTCTCCAGTGAAATTTTCTTTTAGAAAAACTGTTATCTTTAAAAATTGGAGCAAAATTACTGGTAGAAAAGTTGTCCACAGAAAAAATTAATAATAATAATAAACATCTTTGTAAAATCATAAGCTCCTTCGCTCCACTCAGAATCTGAAATTCAGCAAAAAAGATCTCTTAATGTTTCTATATTGAAAAAATATTTCCGGTATAAAACGGAAAGTGTAAAAATGTAAAACAATGAAATAGTAACGCCGTACATTTGTCAGTTTTCATTTTACATTTTTTATCGGATTATTACTAATTATTTATGAAACTATAAATAACAATAATATAACAAATAAAAAAACCGGATTACTTACACACAAACAATATTAAAAATGCTAGAAAAAAAGTCTCCAGTCTTTTTCTTTATAACAGCAATATTTTTTGTAGAAAACATAAGCCGTACAAATTTAAAATCGAAAAATCGTCGCGCCGTAAAAATTTGTTTGTAAAAAAAAATCGTATTTTTCGTCTTTTTTGGTTTTTCCAAATTATTATGAAAACTACTTGGAAAACCAAATAACGACTTTCGTCATGTGCATCTGGATCTAAAATTCAACAAAAAATGTCGGTTGGCGTCGATGTGATTAAAACAATATTTCTAATAGAAAACATCGTTTGCAAAAATTAAGAACAATGTAATCAATAACGCCGCGGCGAGCCGTAAATATTGGTCGTTTTACCTATAATTTTTTTCCGGTTTTTCCCAAATATTATGAAAACCCCTTGAAAATCGAAAAAACTACCATTTTCATGCTAGACCAACTAGACAAAATTTCCTTTTTAGAAATGGCACTACACTTGATACTGCGGAGCAAGTTTTTCGGGAAAAGTCACTCGCAGGCGCGAAAAAAAAAAGTTTCTAATCTGAAAGTGCGGGGTGTTGGGTGTCGGTCTATTTTGTACGCCATGCGAATATAGTTCGCATACGAAAAATTGGACATTTTTCGTATGAAGTTCCAATTCGGTAATTCGTTGTAACTACTCTCGTATACGAAAATTACCATGTACGTACGATTGACTCCCTACTTCGTACGTACATTTTATGTACGGTTCACGAAAATGGTATTTTGTCCGCACGAAATTAACGTTCGTTTAGCGGCATTTCGTAACTAACTATATGCGTACGACGTAATCGCTCGTATGGGTTTTAGTATGACGACCAGTGTTTACTATGCATAATATGTTTGCAACGTACGGGGTAGCAGGGTATGTAAACGCCGGTTTTCGTATAATAATTTGTATTTGTATTTTTTTTTTTTTTCTATCTAATGACATTTCGTTTTTTTAAAAGCAAATCAAAAAAAATCTGCTAAAATATAATAATTGCACACACCCCTAGAACAACACGAGTAAACACTCGACTGTACTATAGACTGTACGGGAAATAACCATTAAAATATAATATCAACTATCAATACGATTCGAACTTGTTATACGGCGTGATCAATCTATCATAAGACACTCATTATCTCGAAAAGTATTAACTTTTTCCGAAATGTATTTCCTAGAACAAAAAACAAACTGCTCCACAGTTGTACATATGTATGTTTTTTTTATTTTTTTCCTGTCAATCTTATTTTTAACGATAAAACCACTATCTACTTTTGATATTCAAATGGCAACCTATATTTAAAAAGTCCATAGATAGATTGAATATACATTTTTTCAGTGTTGACATTTTTGATTTCCGCAGTGACGTCATTGAAGTCGTTATGAGTCGGCAACGCGATTATATTAAAGACAACACGGTACCAGGAGAACATGAGGTTCGGTGTGCGCTGCAGCGACGGCCGCCGCCGACGACCCGTCGCGGGAATATCGTTCGGCCGCCGACCGCTACGAATAGCCGCGGCAAAGCGTTCGAGTCATGCGCCCCTGGTACGTTAGGGTCCGCTTTGTATGCCGTACGAATACGTGCCAGTTCGTGTATACGATTATGATTTTGTATATTTGAAACTCCCACGTACGAATCATGAGCCATACTGCATTTACATTCGTACGTATATGACGTCATTATATTATCATGATGACGTTTATCCGTATTCTACTTTCGAACAACATTTTAAAAAAACGTATACGTACGTAAAACACACATAACCTACATTGTGTACCCAGATTGTCGTTCGTACATAATATAAACGAATTATGGTGGTATTTTAACTTATTATAGTAGCACCAGTTTAATACATTGTTGTGTGTAAAAAATGTTGTATTGTTTGCATTTAAACTCATACGTATAATATTATGTCTATCACATAATAATAATAAAATAAATAGGTACCTACATCAAATTGTTCATAAAATAACACGTTTAAATTTTTATCTGAAAACGATAGTGAAAATGTATACATTACATGTACCCATTAATAGTCGAATTCTGAAATTAAAATTTCATATAGGATTCATAAATTGTACAATTATTATATTATTGCGATTGATTACTGTAAAATAGTATACAAATAGCTTATATATAATATAATAGCTTTGATTTATGATAAAACGCGATGCTCCATTTATGGTTAAATACAGGCGATCGATGTGTCGTAAGACGCCCGTTATCTCGGAAAGTATTATTTACTTTTTCCGGAATTTGTTTTATAGACAATTTAAGAAAGAAGCTCTAAAAATTCATGTTTATGTTATTTTTTGTCACTCTTGTTTTTGGGGGTGAAACCACTTTTGATTATCAAATAGCAACCTATATTAAAAATCCTATAAATACACGGAGTATTAGCCAAAAAAGATATTAACGGTTGACATTTTTAATTTCCGTCAGTCCATTGACGGGATCTTGCACTTTGAAGTGTGGATCGAAGGAGAATGGTGGTGCATTATTAATACGCCGTGCGCCACACAAATGACACACTACTACTCTCTTCCAGCTCAAACTTATAAATGGAATACGTACACGTTTTTTTCAAAATGTTGTTCGTATAGGTTCGAAATCGTACGATAAATTTTACGATACTCGTACGGCGTAGACCCCAGTGTACCAGGGGCGCATGACACGGACGCTATTGCCGCGACTATTCGTGGCGGTCGGCGCTCGAACGATATTGCCGCGACGGACCGTCGGCGGCGGCTGCAGTGGCGTCGGCGGCGGCGACAGTGGCGGCGGCGGGCGTTGCCGCAGCGCACGCCGAACCTCATGTTCTCCTGGTACCGTGTGGTCCTTAATAAAAATCTCGTTTCGATGCCGACCCCAGCCCATACATCCGCCCTAGAAAAGTTTCGAAACGCCGTTTATGATAATAATTATTATTTGAATTTCGTGCGCGCGCAAACGGTTAAACACACGGATAAAATCAAAAATAAAAATCGAGCAACAACAGTGTAACGCTGCGTTCGCGTTGCCGGGCGGCCGCTTCGGTAAAAATACGTCACGTCGTCGTCGTCGTCGCGCGGCTGTTCAGCCGGACATTACACTGCAACGACGAACGATGCGAGTACAAAAAAACTTTTAAAGAACTGTAGGTGTTTTTCGACTGAAAAATTGAATAGTTTTAATAAATACAGACATGTGTACACGTGGGACTGTTACCACTGTTGTAGTTGAGAATAGTTAGGGAGGTATGATACAGATGGGAATTTAATGTATATCTGTAAGCAACGATTAACTATTGCTTACGGAAAAACGATTCTGAGAGGAGTTCAGTTGATAGTGATGCTTTATCATCAATACATGTATCATATTATAGTTTTGCCCGAAAAATTCTTGGGAGAATCGAAAAACGACTTCCTTAAAGTACCTTCCCAGTTCGATTTACTTTTAGAAACATTGCCATCATTATTAATTGAAGCAAAATTGCAAGTAGAAAAGTTGTGCATAGAAAAACAAATCGTAATATATTTTAACTATTACCACAATTTCTTTTACTTTCCCGTTTTTCCTACGTTTTTTTTTTCGATTTTCAAATTTGATGAGGAAACTCCTGATAAAATCGATAAATGACCTATTTAAAGTCCTCCCCACACAGATTTCCTTTCAGAAAAAGCGCTACACTTAAAAATTGGAATAAATCTTCTCGTAGAAAAGTTGCGTCACGAAATATGCGACGAAATTATACCTACATGCGTAACCCACATCGTACCTATAATAGTCGTCCGTTCATATAAATG